GAATGTACAAAAAGATGTATGCATTAACAATCCGAACCTAAATATAGGAACCGCTTTTTATAGTCGAATCTACAAAATCGATAATGATAACACATACTTATGTGATCTTGACCATCACATAAGCGTACAACTTTTTACCAAGATTCGCTTCTTGGATCCTTCTCGGCTTGGCTATTTTCCATCCAAAACATCTAACACTTCTGTTCAAAAAATTTTCGACAAATATGAACAGAAAAGTGATATATCCAAGATAGATATTGAACTTGCTTGGTACTGTCATTATGGTCTTCTCACTCTATTCAAAGATGTTAATCAAACAAAAACATGTTTTTGTCCACCAAATTATTTTGGTTCTCAATGTCAATGGCAGAGTCAACGTGTGAGTTTGACTTTACAGTTTCGAACACAAAGTATTACTGTTTCTCCAATTATTTTTCAACTTATCATCATGCTCATTGATGAACAAGGAAATATTGCATCCAATTATGAACAAATAACATATATGCCTGCTCATGATTGTAATAGAAAATTGAATATCTATTTACTGTATCCACATCGACCTAAATATTCATCAAGAAATTATTCTATTCGTATTGATCTTTTTGACAAATTAACATTAGATTATTGGACAAGTTGGTATTTACCAATTCCATTTCAGTTTCTTCTTGTTAATCGAATATCAGCTCAGCTAAACATTCCTGAAGTACGAGAAAATACACTATGTGCACTATCATGTGGAGAGCATGGTCAGTGTATGAGATATACAAATATGAATAATTCAGTTTTTTGTCGATGTGATCAAGGATATTCTGCTACTTTCTGTAATATTACATATCAATGCCAATGTTCAAATGACTCATTCTGTCTTGCTCCATCTATTTGTGTATGTCCCTTGAATAAGTTTGGCTCACGTTGTTATTTGAAAAGATCAATATGTCAATCAGTGAACAATCCATGTCAACACAATGGACTTTGTGTAGCAATTGATGTTCGTATTAATTTATATGAATTTATCTGTATTTGTAAAGAAGGTTATCAAGGTGAACGATGT